CAACGCAACACTATTACAAGGTCAACCCTTAGTTTACCTGCTGTTTAGGGAACAGCCATATCTCAGATTATACATGCACTGAGCCAGTTTAACAAAAACTAGAGGGACTCAATCCAATAGCCTAGGTTAACACAGTTAAATTAAAACATTTTTTTAACCACCACTAATTAATTGTGTTATACCCGTCGTGGACTGAAAACGTATTGTCCTCCGCGGCCCTCCCTGCTCCTCTCTGAATAGTTTACAAGGATGAGCAAAAGGCGGGAGATGAGACATAATGGATAACAGAAGGGATTTTTAGTTTTTTCTATAACTTAACAGTTCAGAGCTTTGGAGATCTCACAGACATGTATTATCGCTTCACAAGCGCCCAGTTTTAAAGCGTATTCAAACTAACGTCTATCTTGTGAATGTAAACATGTTTTCTCGATGTTTTTGTTGTTTTGCTGTTAGATCACTAGAATACAATTTCAACTTAGCGATTAAGACATACAAACATGTATAAAAATCAAAAACATTAACACATTCTTCTCAAATGTTAAAGGTGGAGGACTAGGTAAGTTTAAGAATCCCGGCTCGAGATACACTTTCTGTTATATTCATCGAATGCTCTTAAACCGATCGCATATCTCAACGTGTCGACTACAAATCACAGCGCATTAGTTGACCTAGGGGGAACTTCAGTCCATGCGTTGACTGTTAATAAGCACAGAGGAATCGCATCTGAGCCGACAACCGTCTAACAGGCTTGGTTGATGAACTAACTGGCTCAGTGCAGAGAGTACACAGGGTGGAGTCTGGGGAGTGCAAGAGACAGATATCGTGTCAGAATGGCATGTAGAGACGTTCGAGAGTGTGGTTGACAGAGAGAGAGTGTAGAGTAGAGGAGAGGAGGGACAGAGGTTTTCCGGTTGTGTATTCAGAATTCTCAGGCGGAATCTGAGTCATGGTAATAAACAAACACTTGCATAAGCATATCGTCCACCATATGAAAGATCAAGAAAATTGGTAAACATGAAAAAACAGAATTGTCATAATAGAATATTTAGAAAAGATACAAAAGTACGATTAATATTTTGGAATCAGAAGCGACTAGGTCTCAGATAATAAAAATATATAAAAAACATGTCTAATGAAGTGTTTTGCTCCAAAATACCCAAACAGATTCACACCATTCTAGCCATGCCTATATCCCTCTATTTTCACTTCCTGTTTCTATAAAGTGCTGATTTGGGTTATACAGCTTTAAAAAAGGAGGGGTCTGAGCCTCATGCGGCGACCGGCGGCAGCTACTGTCTAAACTAAATGCTGCCGTGATGAAACGCCATATCATGGATTATCAAGGATTATCTCTGAAACAGTATGGAGCTCAAAGGCTTTCTCTCTTGCCGGTTATACCACAAGGTGAGTTCCTTTTTACTTCCTGCTTCTTCACACACATGCTCTCCAGTACAGGTTAGCTCTGAGTGTTAGCCATGCTAATGTAAACACCGACCATATTACGTCCAAAACAGTCGGGCATTGTTTCTGATAGCAACGTTTCTGATTGGCCCGTGGGTCCACATTTCAGATATTACGTCATATCGGACGCAAATCTGGATCAGCTCCGTTGTTCCCCCGTTTTTAGAGATTTGGGTACGGAGGAAAAGAGAGAGGGTTTTATTTTCTGACGCTGCATGAGTTCCCTGACACACCGGGGACACATCTTTATGTATAAAAGACATCAAAAAGTGCATTTTGCCTGATAGGTCCCCTTTAAATAATGATTATTTTTGCACAGTTTAATTATCATCCATATACCAGTATAGCTGATTAAAAGTTATTTACATAAAGTGTTCTGGGGGGAAACTTCAAATTCCCCCAAAAAGAACTCTTAGAAACTCACTTAAATTACGGTTTAGCTCAACTTAAGTTATTGTTATTAATACATTTGCTAATGACACATATTGCATTACATCTTCCAGACTTAGCACTTAGCCTCCTACCCAAAAACCATGTTAACTTTTCCATAACAAACGTCATCCAACAGAAAAAGCCTGCTCTACTTTTAGCCGTGATGCAAGTGAGAAAATTCACAAGTGTGTGTAGAAGGCCTCTCTCCTCTCTCCTCTCTCCTCTCTCCTCTCTCCTCTCTCCACTCTGCATCGCATGCTTCTTCGCCTCCATTCATGCATTAAGATCATTTACTGCACTTACTAAAGTGTTTGACTCTCACTTTAGTAAACTGGAATTAGAGATTTTAATCTATGGTTCAGTCGCAGGTCAGTGGAGACACGTTTGGATCCAGAGGAAGATCCTCAGTTCTAAATAATACATTGTATTTATATACTGCTTTTCTCTGACTCAAAGTCGCTTTACAATATAAAAAGAGAGGGTTGGGAAAAAAAGAAAACTACTATCCTGATGTTTATGGTGGAAAGGTGTAGCATTTGCAAAAGGAACAGCACATTCAATTTCAGAGTGGGTCCAAATTACTGGGCATATTCAGATAGTGTTGGTGGTGGCTTTCATTTTTCAACTTCCTTCTATTTTGTCTATTCAGTGCTTGGAAGTAAAAGCGCTTTAAAGGTCCCACGTCACGGCCATCTCTACTGATCACATTCCATTGTTGAGGTCTACTAGAATAGATTTATATTGTGCAATGTTCCAATCTCACATTGGTTTCTCATACAGCATCTCTGTGTAGTATGTGTATTCACTCTCTGTCCTAAACGGCTTGTTGGAGCTCCTGCCCCCCCCTTCCCTTCTCCCTGTGAGCCCAGTGCGCTCTGATTGGTCGGGATGTTGCTGCTCGCCGTTGCTGCGAGGAGCGGACAGGTTTCCGGGTCGGTGATACAGCGAGAACAAGCGAAGCTCATCCTGAGCACACACAAACACTCACAGCCGAAGTAAAAACAATAAGTGTGGCTTGATATTGAGAAAGAAAAAGGTTTATAACCAGGGCTGCACATAACTGGTGCGCAGGTGCGCCCACCGCCAAAAAAGGACCACCGGATCATTTGAAAAAAGCACATTTGCGTACCAACATTGAGAGAGAGAGAGAGAGAGAGAGAGAGAGAGAGAGAGAGAGAGAGATTTGCGAGTTGCATAAGAACTGGTAAGATAGCAGGGTTTCCCACACATAGACTTTACTTGGTTGGGCCGGCCAGGTATATTAACGGCCGCCAAAGTATCATTTGCGAGCCATTTAGGTTTAGTGTTAATAATCCGTCCGCGAGCGCGACGGCATCTGTGATCCCTCGCAGTACCCCTCGCTATCGCGTGAAGGGTCTGCTTTATGCGCTCCGCACAGTAACCCCGCTGCGAGCTCACTAGCGCACCGTGCGTTGTCGTGCTCGTTTCAGCCCCCCATTAACCCGCCGGCAACGAAAGCACGCCGCCCGTGTGTAGGGGCGTAACCCTGCTGCGAGGCTCCGGCGAACAGTTCATGGCGTGCTCACTAGAGCACCTACCCCCCCCCCCCCCCGTTCATAAAGTCAAGTACCCCTCAAAAGGTACGGTTTATTTCTTTTAAGGATGCGCACCAGCAACATCTCCAGTGCTCCTTGAGACCAGGTTATGTGCACCCCTGTTTAGAGCGCTGAGAGAATGGGTCTGCGGAGAGCCATTTCTCCGCCAATCCAACATCGTCTATTACCAGAGTTCAGGGGAGCTCTATGCAAGTCCAATGGGGACTCCCTGTTAGTTAGCCAAAGGGATCCTGGTGAGTGAGGTGGCTCCGCCGATTGTCCATTGGGCCAATCCGGTCATTTGTTGTTTGATTTGGGGTGTTCACACGTCACAGAACCCAGGAAGCAAACAATGGGAAAAAGAGAAACCCAACGAGCGTTCTGGGGCAGCATAGACAGGTCTTCTCTTTGGTGTTTAGAGTTTTACTCGCTACAGGGTGTACTTTGAGCGTTTGTGACTCTGCAGCACCGTTTACATGCAGAAAAACTTCATAACACACAGGGGACGGGTAAATAACCGGAAAGCATGACAATGGGCCCTTTAAAACGTTCAGCAAATACACCAATGAGCCGATCATTTCTATGGAATAACCCCAGAAGGTTTTTTTAGGGGAGTACAACAAACAAGGACAACAAAGACTATCAACGGGCATGGATGATTTGGGGGCTACGGGTAGGAGAGTAGAAGACATGAGTTTTGAGGCGAGATTTTTGAAGAAGTGTGAGGCACTGGCAAAGTACGGACATTTTGAGGAGTGAATTATTCCCAGAGCCCTGGGAAGCATGCAACAGAAAAAAAGGCTCCCCGTCTACGAAGGATTATGGGATGGAAGGAGAGCGCTGAGGTGAAAAGATTTGAGGGACCGTGTGGTTGGTAAAGGGGTAGAAGGTATGCTCTTAACAGCTTTTTTATATTACCATATTTTATCCAATATGTTCCTAGGAGAACTTTTCTCAATCCCTGAGCCTTAAGACTTTAAGGGCCACAAACTCTTTAAAATGCTGTTTGGTGCAAAACTATGTAGCAAACATATTCTCTCCAAACTTAAAGCTGTTGATACTGTGAACACTGTATAACCAAACTACTATCTATCATCCTTTTAATTTAATACGTAAGAATAATTGAGAAATAGTGACATCACTATGTAACACTCCTGCTTTCTATTGGTTTGGCCGCTCCAACACATTGCCACGTGGATATGGTAAGGGGCGGGACATGTCTAAGCCGGTTGAGCCAAATCACAACAGAACCGCCAACTAAAACCATAAGAGCAGACTTGGGCTCTGGTTTCATACAGGGGTGAAAAGGGGTGCTGCAGCACAGACATGAGAACAATAAAGAGCTTTTTGAACATTAAAGCTATGGAGACATGTCACAGCAGATACACTGATATACACCTGAACATCAGCAGGAAGAGGACTCTTTAAAGTAGAAGACACTACATACTGATATACCTGAACATCATCAGGAGAGGACTCTTTAAAGTAGAGACACTACATACGATATACAACCTGAACATCAGCAGGAGAGGACTCCCTTAAAGTAGAAGACACTACATACTGATTATACACCTGAACATAAGTCAGGAGAGGAACTCTTTAAAGTAGAGACACTAACATCTGATATCACCTAGAACATCAGCATGAGAGGACCTTTTAAAGTAAGACACTACATACTGGATATACACCTGAACATCATCAGGAGACGGACTCTTTAAAGTACTAGAGACACACATAACCGATTACACCTGAAACCATCCAGGGCAGGAGAGGACTCTTTAAAGTAGGACCTAACCATACTGAATACACCTGAACATCATCGGAAGAGGACTCTTTAAAGTAGAGACACCTACTACTGATATACAATGAAACATCATCAGGAGAGACTCTTTAAAGTAGCGTAGAGACACTAAACATAACCGATATACACCTGAACATCAGCAGGAGAGGACCTCTTTAAAGTAGAAGACACTACATAACTGATATACACCTGAACATCATCAGGAGAGGACTCCTTAAAGTAGAAGACCACTACATACTGATATACACCTGAACACTCAGTAAAAGGAGAGGACTCTAAAGTAGAGACACTACATACTGATATACACCTGAACATCAGCAGGGAAGGACTCTTTAAAGTAGAGAACTACATACTGATATACACCTGAAAACATCAGCAGGAGAGGACTCTTAAAAGTAAGAGACACTACATAACTGATATCACCTGACATCAGCAGGAGAGGACTCCTTTAAAGTAGAGACACTACATACTGATATACAACCTGAACATCAAGCAGGAGAGGACTCTTTAAAGTAGGACACTACATACTGATATACACCTGAACACCAGCAGGAGAGGAATCCTTTAAAGTAAATAGACACTACATTCTGATATAACCTGAACATCACAGGAGAGGACTCTTTAAAAGTTAGAGACACTACATACTGATATACAGCTGAACATCAAGCAGGAGAGGACTCTTTAAAGTAGAGACACTACATAGCTGTATACACCTGAACATCAGCAGGAGAGGACTCTTTAAAGTAGAGCACTACACTCTGGATATACAACCTGACATCAGCAGGAGAGGAACTCTTTAAGTAGAGACCACTACATACTGATATACACACCCTGAAACATCACATGAGAGGACTCTTTAAAGTAGAGACCACTACATACGATATACAGCTGAACATCAGGCAGGAGAGGACTCATTTAAAGTAAAGAACACACACATCTGATATACACCTGAACATCAGCAGGAGAGGACTCTTTAAAGTAGAGACACTCACATACTGATATAACCACCTGAACATCAGTCAGGAGAGGACTCTTTAAGTAAAGGAAACTACACACTGA